AAGCCAAACAGCAACAGCGCGTTGAGCTCATTCAGGGTGGATCGGACCACACGAAGTAATCGCGGTCTGGGGTTTGGGTCGTCAACTGGGACATTAGCCAACCTAGTCAGTATCCTGACAGTAACACCGAGAAAAGCAGAAGAAAGCAGCTTCGGAACGCGAAACTTTAACCACTGTAGGTCGCCCAACCTACGTTCGGCAGGAAGTGCGGCAGTGGATTCTACTGCGTTAGGGAAAAGCACGCTGCCAACCATAGAAGAATCATCTCGACTTGGTAAATTTCCCCACAGGTTTTGGATTTCAGTTGAACAGTAGTTATTTTACCTGCAGGCAATGAGACTGGGCGCACTTTGGCAGACGGCTCTGAAGCAACTGTAGCGTACGTTTTATGGTCCAGCTTGTTTTACCCGACATTCTTGACGCCTTTCGTACTGGCCTGAAGAGTCCGGGCGGTTCTGTTCCTATTTTTCTTTCACCCAACAGACAAAGAAGTCCGCGGCTTAATGTCTATGCCCGCCTCCACGACCTGGGCCTCCGGAAGACAGGTTGAGGTGTTTGGAATAGGCACTACAGTTTGAGTAGCACGCGATGGGGACATCTGTTGCTTCTCATCCCCTGCCTGAATGGCCTTAGATAGAAATGAGGGAAGTTCATCACCAGCTTGGGTTTCCAGCTCAGGCGGTAACATCTTGAGCGATTGCCTACCTCCCTGTTTCGGGGGCGGAGGGTTTGAGCACTTTCCTCGTCCGCTTTCGCTTATTCTTTTCTGGCCCAGGAGCCAGTGACGCTCCTTCTAGTTGTGGCGGGTCAACAATGCCATCCGAAGAATCTGAGTCAGTTATCCCCTTTGAACTGGTGTGTCCGGTAGGCTGAACTACCCATCAACGGATGGACTGTTAACAGTGGGACAGTCCGCTTCAGAGTCCTCATTCATAATCAAATCCACTGTAGTGTTGAGCGAGGCAAGTGTGCAAGCTGGACGGGCGCCTTCTCAACCACTGTGAGCCTGGATGCCAGTGAGTCGAATTCAGCAAAGTTGATAGCCGGGCGCTTCGGTTTCTGAACGCAGCATTCAGCGCATCAAAATGAAAGTTTACACTGGATGAAAACATATTGGATTGGTTCGCACCGAGGCGGTTAAAACATTTGTGATACCAGCGGAAGCAATCCTCACCCTGCATACCAACAGATGAAACCGTAACTGACCTTGAACTGGCAGAATTGTCGCAAGCTGCATTTGACTGATCGAAGGAGGACCAAAGGATTTCATCAGCTATGGCTTTTAGCGAAACAAACATGTTTAAAGTGGAAAACGGAGCTGAATGCATTGCCATCTGTACTCAAGTCATGCGTGGTCGCTGGACCTATTAGTCGTCATCCGCAGTTGGGCTAAACCAACTTTCACTTAAACTAGGCCCTTTTAATGTGGATAAAATTTATTACATGTAATTTGGGTTGTTCTACGTACTTCATAATCTTCTCCTTACTTGCACACGTCGCCCACGCAAATTGTGGAAACTTGCGTAATTTATCGCGTGGTATTTTTAAATAACTTTCGGACATTTTGTGCTTATCACGGATTCACTTATAACCAATTTCTTCTATATGCTCATTTAGCGAGTATTTATGTCGTCATATGCGATTACTTTAATCGAAATCGGTATTTCGAATGATTGGCTGTTGTTTGACATCCCAGGTGTGGCTGCGCTTGATGTGCTTGTTGACAAGCTGCCTACCTGTCCATTACCCACTACCTCGTCCATACTGACTCCAGGAGACAGTTGGTCCTTGCTGGAGGGGACGGGGTGCATGGTCCTTGTGGTCGTCCTAGGCTCGAAGAGTGGTTCTATGCACTCAGTGTGCAGCGGACTACGGTCTAGCCATCGCCTTGTGTGCCCTTGATTCCCCAAATACATCGTGCTTGTGTTTGTCTGTGAAGGAGTGTGGGCCGGCTCCGTTGATGAAACGTGGCTCCCATCCGCATGCCTCCCGGTCTTATTCCTTCGGGTTTACACTGGATATGGGGTGTGCGGACGGAGCTGTGAGTGGTGCAGCGCAAGCCATCCATGGTCCCTCTGTAGGCGCAGGCGTCCCGTGGCTTGCCACAGTGACAGGCAAATCGAAAATCGGACGCCACCAACCCCATATATATATATATATATTTATCATGGCGTACCAAGGCTGCTGGGATGCGTTGCAAGATCTCGGTGGTTGATACGGTTCAGGCGGCCTGCGATAAATTTAAATCTTATCTCACGGATGTGTCTACTACCTACATGCCGCTTGCGAGGAGAAAGGAGACACGGGCGCGGCCGCCGTGAATAGATACCACTGGCAATACCTGCTCCAGAAGCGTTCTAGGTGCTGGAGGACCTACAGTGCGGCTCCATCAACTAGGACCTATGATGGATACCGCGAGGCTAGAAATAGGTGTAAACTACGCTTATGGAAATCTCGGCTGGTTTACGAAAAGGAATTGGCTGATGGAGCTTCGGAAAATCCGAAAAAGTTCTTCGCTTATGTTAAGAGACGCTGTGGTTCAACTTCGGTAATCCCAACTTTGATGCGGGCCGATGAAACTCGTGCGTATGCGGACTCAGATAAGGCTCTTTACTTGGGGGACAGTATGCAGGGGCTTTATACGTGAGGCCGCGTTGACTAGCCTTGAACTTGTCCCAGGAGTACCTGAGGGTTCTTCTTTAGCTGAGTTTACTGTGGTGGAAACGCAAGTCCTCAAACTGCTGCAAGAACTGAACCCTTCCAAAGCAGCTGGACCTGATTCGATTCACCCGAAGCTTCTGCATGATTTGGCGGTAGAACTGAGTGGACCGCTGACGATGGTGTTTCAGAAATCACTTGACAGCTGTACATTACCTTCCGAACGGAAGGAGGCTGTCATCTGCCCTATCTTCAAAAATGGCGACAGCAGTCTGTTAGCCAATTATAGGCCAGTTAGTCTGACTAGCGTCGTGGTCAAACTGCTTGAAAAGCTGGTGAGAGATTCGTTGGAAGGTCACCTGAATAGATTTAGTCTACTCAGTAGTGCACAACATGGATTCCGGAAGGGAGTTTCGTGTTTGACGAATTTGTTGGTTGCTCGCGAAGCTTGGGCCGAGGCAGTGGACAATGGCCACGCGGTGGATGTGCTTTTCGTAGACTTCTCGAAAGCATTTGATAAGGTACCGCACTTGAGGCTGTCACAAAACCTGAGGCCCTACGGCGTATCTGGCCGCGCCCTTCACTGGGTATCTGCGTTTCTGCAGGGAAGAGAGCAGTGTGTACGTGTGGGTCGCAGCTTAGCCTTTAGGCAAGCGGTCCTTAGCGGTGTCTCACAGGGCTCGGTCCTTGGACTGCTGCTGTTCTCCATCTACGTAAACGATCTCCTTGAATAGCTTGGGGTATCATCCCTAGTGTTTGCTGATGACGTTAAGCTATGTTCCTGGGGGTTCTGTGGACATACAGCATGCACTGGACAGACTCTGGAACTGGTCTACTTTGTGGCTACTGCCCATAAATCAGGCTAAGTGTTCCGTCCTTCGTATAGGAGCAGCTTTCCCGCCTTCGAGTCAAGTTCTCGGTGGGGTCGAATTCCCCCTTTTCTCCAACCAGGTAGACCTAGGTGTCGTTCATTCCACGTCTTTGCATTCTGGAAGAAGGCCGCTAGTAGGGGTTTCAGAATGTTGTGGTTAATACGCCGTTCTTTCGGGGCCTTAACTGCCGATATATTTGTGAAGCTGTTCTCAGCTTCCGTCCGGCCCCATCTGGAATACTGCTTCCATGCTTGCCCGCCCTGCCTTGTTCGGGACAAAATGGAGCTTGAGAGGGTTTTGAGAGTAGGTACCAAATTGGTCGAGGAGTTACGGGGGAAATCGTACCCCGAGCGTCTACTTAGCTTGGGTATGTATTCAATGCATTACCGACGGCTTCGAGGAGACCTAGTCCTTACTTATCGCATTTTAACAGGGAAGGTTGGACCGGACTTGAGCTGGCTATTTAGCCCGGCTAGGTTGCCTTGTCTTCGCGGTCATCCTATGAAACTACACAAGCCGCGTTCTGACCGGATCAGGGCGGAAACTCGGTTACCGCGTAGAGTTATCCAGCGCTGGAACTCGCTTCCAGAAAGTGTAGGCAGTGAACCTACGGTTAAGGGTTTTGAGCGTCAGTTAGACGCTCTTGGGTGGCAACACGAAACCTTTCCCTTCTCCTGACCATATCCATCTTCAAACTAAGTTCATATTCTGTCATTCTCTTCACTCTTTGGTGTTTTCCTTCATTTAAATGACTTTCATTCCTCTTTATCTTCCATCTACTTTCTACTTCTTTCTTACTTCACGTAACCTACACAGCGCGGAATGCTAGTGCAGGGAACGTGGGCAGTAATTAATTGATCAGGGAGTGTTTCGGGTGTTTCGTTTTAGATCTACCAAAAACTAACACCTTATCATTTCCTGGCTCAACGATTTGCTCAAGAAGGAACACTCAAGGAATTTTACTATCGTTTCAGTCCATTTGAATCTGAAACTGACAGGCAATCCTAGAACAGGCACAGGTAGCTTGCATTACCATAAACTGCGCTAGTCACGCGGGCTAAACTCCCGGGACTACAGCAGCGTGGGCACCCAGCGTGATTCACAAACACAGTGAACCGAAGAACGTAGACCAAGGTATGGTACAGTGCGTAATACCAAGTAATTGGTGACTGCAAAACAGTCAACAAGTACAGTAATCGGCTAAATAGATTTCTGTAACTCTTTATAACACAAAGAAAAATACATCAACAAGCCAGTTCCTTGGTTTATTTTTTCCAACCTAGATCAAGAATGGAGGGCTGTGGTGTTGCAGTCTACGACGCATTTCATTATGGTTTGGATGCAGATCATTAATGCAGAGTGCGGTGCAGCAAACTCTATCTAAAAGTCTGAGGATTGTAGCCAGACTACTGTTACTAACTATAAAAGCCATAAATCTGTCATGACGGCTTACGGTTTGTGTGTTCATCGGGCAATTAATAGGATTGAATCCAAGACGTATCCTCATGATCTGCGACCTTCCAAGGACAGCGACTGCAAGGCAAACCTTTGACTTCATCGAAGCTTTAATACTACTTGATTAGTGGTTTATAAGTGTCAATTTATTTCCAGTTAACAAACCTACCCAATCCCCGTCATGCTTCCTTGGTCTACGGGTCGCGTTTGCAACTTTTCCCGATCTGTTCTCATCTGAATTGAATGTACTCAAGCGCTATCACTACCCTTGAAGTACTTTTGTGTAGCTTTGTGGTTTCTTGAGCTTTAACCGCCTCTGCAATGATCCCTGGGGTGTATCCGTTTTTTGCACTACCTGGAGATGTTTCAACCCAAGGAGTTCAAGCGCAGACGACCGATGGTTCCGGCCCTTCTTACCCAGCATCATTGGTTCAACAAGCTCTTTTGCAAGAGGCTCTTCGGGGGGTTGGCCTTAACCCGGTAGTCTCTCTGTTTTGCAACCCCAACATCGGGTGTCCTGTTCCTCTTAATCTCCTCCCTGGCGGTGTGCAGTTTTCTTCTCTTAATTCGTCATATCCTATCAATCCCCTAATTTTCTATCCAACACCCGGCCAAGTCTCTTTCCCCATCGGCGCCACGAGTGAGGCAGTACGTGGCGAACCTGACGCCCACACTATCGTCCGTGCTCCAGTTTTGTACAAGACAGCGGTAAGTCAGTTTCATACTTATTCACACGGCTAATTCGAAGATAGCTTGATAAGGATTCTGTCGCATTTTGCTGGCGTTTTTTTCGTTTTGATCATCTGCTTGGATCGTTTATTTTCGGTACTCCATGGTTTCCAAAGTTCTACCTCATATGATGGCATATGCCACCCCAGATGTATTGGTTATTACAACTATTTTCTTGTCCGATTGCTCCTTTCAAGAGCACGCCGCTGATAAGGTTATTAACTTACCCAGTCTAAAAATGCAGGCATCGTTCACTCGTCTTCATCGTTTACAGTTGGATCGGTTTCGATACGAATCGGCAAACCTGAGGACTTGATCAGCGATTGGGCTACTGACAGACGCCTTGCATCCACACTGAGCATCTGGGCTGATATGTAACTTTCAAGTCTCGATGCGCTGTGCACACCAAAATGCGCAGATTGTGTTAGATCTGCCGATATCATTAACTATTCTCTATCAGTTTACTTAATTTTCTCCTGAAATAACTTGGGCATTATTGTATGGGCAACTGGCCACCAGTGCCTTCATGTGCTGGGCATTACGAGGCGATGCTAATCAACGTTATGTCAGGTCAGGTCAGGTCAGATGGACGATAGAGGCTTCCGCCTAACGAGCGTCCAATTCTTGTGCCGGTAAGTGAAGCGGCCCCCGGCACTTCGACGTTGGATTGTCTCTTCTTGCTTCTGCAATGGAATGAAGCATGAACAAGAGCACCCTCTTCTTGTGCCGGTAAGTGAAGCGGCCCCCGGCACTTCGACGTTGGATTGTCTCTTCTTGCTTCTGCAATGGAATGAAGCAAGAACAAGAGCAATCTTTGCACTTTCATATGCCAGCATCAAAATACACTACATATTCCAGTACAACTACAATAACTCTGGAAAAAGGATGGACCAACAATTGTCTAAGCCCCTTTTGAAGGCTTCTACGGTCTCAGACTCCACTAAATCAGAAGGAAGTTTATTCCAGAAGTTAACTACTCGGTTCGTAAAAAAACTTTGCCCTGATGTCCAAACGATCTCTATGGTGTTTGAGCTTCAGGCGATGCCCGCGCAGATGGTCTGACGTAGCCAACTCAAACAGATGGGTGGAACTAATACCACTAAGTCCCTTAATGATCTTAAACGTCTCTATCAAATCCACTTTCAACCTACGCCGTTCCAAGGAAAATAATCCTAAGCTACATAGACGATTTTCCTAAGACTTCCCTCGTTGACCTTCAATCATCCTGGTCGCAAGTTTCTGAATCTTTTCTATACAAATGATGTCACTCCGGAGGTACGGTGACCAGGCCTGAACACAATACTCCAGATGTGGCCTAACCACTATTTTGTATAACGGCAAGAATACTTCTGCTTTAGTGTTACTCAGCGCCCTCCTAAGACGAAATAACTCGTGTCGCGCTTTATTGGCAGCATGGCGACACTGTGCCGAAGGCTTAAAATTGTTCGCTACGATGACACCTAGATCACGGGCTTCGTCAGTACACCGCAATGATAGAGATCCCACAGTAGACTGGACTGCAATTTCGCTACCACTACTAGTCAATAGTTGACATTTGTTGGCATTTAGAGGTAGGTCCCATTGGCTTGACCAATTCACCACAGTGATGATGTCCTTAGCCAATGTCGCTCGGTTTCCCCTACTGACTAGCTTCAAGTCATCTGCGAAGATGTAGCAGGGATCCTCAAGAAGAGGAGCCAGGTCATTTATAAACATAAGAAACAGCAATGGACCCAGAACCGAACCTTGGGGGACACCGCTGTAGGCATGGCCAACACTAGAACTCGCTTCCCCAACGCTGACTCTGAATGTCCTTCCACTTATGAATTCAGAGAGCCATAGTAATAGTTGAGGATGCAATCCAAACCATGTCAGATTCTCAATTAAAAATCGATGGTTCACGGAGTCAAAGGCTTTACTGAAATCCAAATAGCACACCTCTACCGATATCCCACCATTAAGGCAACGGGTAATCTCGTCTAAAAAGCACAATAACTTGGTAAGACAAGACTTCTTTTTGAGAAAGCCATGCTGTTCCGCTCTAATTAGATTGTGCTCAGCCAAGTGCTCACAGATCCTGTTCCTTATAAGCTTTTCCAAGCATTTCAGCATAATGCTGGTCAAACTAACAGGTCTATAGTTAAGAGGCACCGACTTAGAACCCCCCTTGTGGATGGCAACAATAGTCGCCTCCTTCCAATCACGTGGCAGCTTGCCTTCTTGAAGAGACTGGTTGAATAACTCCGCTACGGGATACTGAAGGATATCAGCCAGAGGCTTAACTATGGCGGGATGTACGCTATCAGGACCAGCTGATTTATAAGGGTTCAAACTGGCCAACACTGTGAAGACCACTGACACTGAGAATAATTTCCCGCATTGTGTAGCTAGTTGAGCAGTGCGGCTGTGATGGCAAGGCTGACCCACTATCCTTCCGATGCAGGCTTTGGTACACGTAGCAGCGCTTCTACTTTATCAACGTCATCTACAGCCTGGGTACCGTCCTCCATGGTTAGACAGCCGACCACCTCTCTTAAAGAAGCCTTTGACTGGACATAACTGTAATAACACTTGGGATTAGTTTTCGAAAATTTGGCCAACCTAAGCTCATATGAGTACTTCGCCTGCCGCTGTAACTTAATAGCCATGTTTCGACACCTTTTGTACTGCAGCCAACGTCGGAAGCCCCGAGTTTCTTGATATTTTCTCCATTCAGCATTGCGCCTCTTTATCGCTCTATCAATTTTTCTTCTCCACCATCGGGGTTTCCCAAGATGTCTCCTGGGGCGAAGAGGAGCAAACTCATTCAGCAACTGTACAAGTCCACTTTTAAGTAGAAGCCACCTCTGTTCCAAAGTGGCCTTGTCCTGTTCTGGGACCCAAGTGATCTGAATGGCTCGATCCCGCAGCTTTGTAAAATCAATACGATTTAATTCTCTTCCCATTCGACGGTTCTCTGCAAGCCTCGGTGTGTCCAGAGAAAAGGTCAAAACACAATGATCACTCTTACCTATGGGTGGCTCCACGCATAGGTCAATCAAGTGACCATGTCTGGCGATCACGATATCAAGGGTTGAAGGGGTTCTCCCAGTACGACTCCTAGTCGGAAAATTGACGTATTGCTCGAGCGAATTTACGTGCATCCAATCTACTAGTTCCTTCTCTAAAGTACCCACTCTGTTTTCAGCGTGCTGCCAATCAGCATGCGGAAGGTTTAGGTCACCGACGATCAGAAAATTAGGTGCGGCCATTGCCGCCTGTCTTAGTAACGTACCAAGATCCCTGTCCTCTTCTCGCGTGGAGGATGGGCTGCGATAAACACATACTATAATCTCCAATCTACCCCATGCTCTTAGATAGCAGGATACCACCTGAACATTAGCAGAACTCATGGTAAATGGAGCCTCCCAGTGTTTATAATGGCACTTTATAAGCAAGAGTACTCCTCCACCAGTCTGACACCCGGGCCTGTCAGCCCTGTAGCACGCAACGTCTATAAGCAGATCACCAATAAGGTCATCTGGAGAGAGCCAGGACTCCGACACAGCGGCCACATCAGCATGCTCACAACGCGTCACTAACTCCCCCCATTTGTTACGCACACTACAACAATTAGTGTACCACACGCTTAGTCTCTCCGAACGTGGTTGTTTCCCCTCGGACGTAGAGCATGAGGGGATAACCCGTTTTTTGTACCATTTCATTTCGATCAGCTGCTTGAGTCGATGAATCAACGTTGGGCTGCTGTTACGCATTACGGGATAATCCCTTTCCTGGCTTCGCCCGCCTGGGCTTGCTGGATAAACTCCCGACGGGTTTCCTCCCATTTGCCTGAGTCGACCTAACAGCACTGCACTTCGGATTAACTGTACGGTCCAATTTAGGTGTGGCAAGTTTTTCATTTATCCTATCATTTTGTGAAAAGGGCATACCACCCATGGACTTTGGTGCCACTACTATCGAGCACGAGGCCTCGATTGTTTTTGAACGCACCGGCTGAAGTCCCATTGCCACACCTTCACTACCCTCTTCCGCCATAGCGGTGTGGTTCACATATCCATCAAGAACAAGTTTCCCCACAACCAAATGCAGGCCAGGAGTTATCTCGCTGGCGTCTTGTGAAGTGGGTTGTCCAGACAAGCTGACTGCCCTTGCCACAGGAGAGCAAACGCTAGCGTTTTGCTTAGGTGTCTGCGTAACGTGAGGCTCACTATCGTGAATTCCAACGTGTGAGACCGCAGATTCGCTAGCCAAGTTGGTATTAGTACCTTCTAACCGGCTCAGCCGAGGGGCTTTAGCCTTCGAAGTTAGTGTGTCCGGTGCTATTTGATACCGACCATTTGTCTGACTTGCAACTAACCCAGCCCTGTTAAGTAGAAGGTCCCGGTGTATAGAGTTCTGAAACTCAACCAGGATAGGCCTTGCATAATCTTGGTGGCGGAGCATACTTGTTTCTCTCCAGCTGCCAACACAATGTACTCTTTTGATACCAACGTATAACGGTATTCCGGCTATACGAAGGATATCGTGCACTCGCCTTCTGTCTAGGTCCCGTCGAGTTTTACTTTCTCCTATAACTGGCTCCTCCCTATTGTAGATAAGAACGTTTCGTTGTCTACCCATAGCAAGTTCTGCACTTCGCAAGTAACATTCCAATGAAGACTGCAACTCTTCAACTTTTGAACGCAATGCCTCAATTAGCAAGCTCTGGTCACTAATCAACTTCTCGGCACTGTCTAGTCTATGCACACAGTTTCTACTAGCAGACTCATGCACAGCTGTGACATGAGTAACTGGATCAAAAGTCCGATCGTGTATCAAGCGAGAACCAATGTCTGCTAAGCACACGCAGTGGAACCAAATCCACTTTAATTGGGAATGTCGGGCATAAAGATCAATAGAGTCTTGGTCTAATCTAGAGCACTGAATTCCCTCTTTGACCTCAACGCCACAAGTGTGCTCACCACATTTATAGCCAG